ATTAAAAATACATGAAAGTAAAAGGATCTGATAAAAATAAAAAATTTTATAAGGACCTAATTAAAAATCAGATGAAACTATAAGGACCTGGAGATTAATTATCCCTTTTATATTTTAAATAAATTTCTTAGATCTATTTACAAATTTTTATTTCATTTTAATTTTTATCTAAAATAATTAATATAAATTAAACATGCGTTTTTATTATATTCTTATAATCTAAATTTGTTTAAAGTTTATTTTTAAATTATTTGGTAACTTTATATTTAATTTTTTTAATGCATATATTATTATATAAGTATATACCATTATTTTTATCTAATTATTCCATTACTGATCAGACTCGTATGAACCATGACTCGTTAGTCTTTCTAGTTTAATGTCCTGCCCAGCTTCTAAAACATTGATTTAGAGCTTTATGTTACCAATTATTATTTATTTGAGCTTTTTATTTAAAATGTTTAAGCCCAAAAAAAGTAAAAAAGAAAATAAAAAGATGCTTTCCAAAAGGCTAAACCCAAAAACCTAAAACTAAAACAAAAAAAAAAAATCTATTGCAATAGCCCAATTATAAGGCAAAAATATTTTAAAAAAAAATAAAACAAAACGGGATGTTCCCGTCCCAACTGAGACCAGGTGTTGATGGGAACAACCCTAGCAAGAACCTGTAACCATATATATAATTGGCTTCTTTCTTCGCCAGCTAATTGGAAGATCTTCTTCATCCGGTAGAGATCATAACAGATGGATCCTTCTAATTTTTAATGCCTAATCAAATCCCAACGGATCCATCTCGAGATGTACCCATCATATAAATATCTTGTTTAAATACACATTTTCTTTTGCCTTTCAAATCATATAAATATTCTTTTTAAATTTTTTTTTTTGGCCCACAAGTTCAATATGCATATCATACGAGTATGAATATGATAATTAGTTTATTACCCTTGGTCCTAATATTTCAGCCCGCTAATCAAGTGCTTTAAATGAACAATTTATATTATTATATGTTGTTAGAAGATAGCTGATTGAGCTGTTGAGTTTGGGCGATTCTGGTTTCTTGGAGATGAACATGGTGGCGAGTGAAGTGATGACTGGTTGGAAAGATTATTTTGCTAAGTTTGGTGGCAAGATGCCGATGGAGACTAGCAATAAAAAGATTGAAGGGGATGGCTCAGAGGGAGAAGAAGATGAGGACTCTTAGATGAAAACTGGGAAGTTCTCGTCCATTAAAGTTTTCTGCTGGGGAGTATGCTGTGTGGTGTAAACCTTATATGAACTCTCTTATTGTGAAACTTTTAGGAAAGTCATTCAGGGTGGGCTTTATGAAGCAACGAATGGAGCGCATGTGGAGTAGTCCTCAAAAACTGATCAAGATTATGCCTTTAAATAATGCTTAATTCATTGTTTCTTTTTCTACTGCAGAGGATCGTGATTTTGCCTTATAAGAGGGCCTATGGATGATTGGTGAACATTGCCTTCTTGTTCAATAGTGGCGCCCAAACTTTAATCCCTGGAAAGTTGATCATCATAAATGAATAGCTGTATGGATTCGAATCCCAGACCTTCCGGCTGAGCTATATAATCTTGAATCCTTATATCAGCTTGGTAATCAAGTAAGGAAAACGTTAAAGATAGATAGATAGAACAACGACTTTTTCTGAGAAGGGGGGTTTTGCGCGAATCTACATTGAGGTCAATCTACAGAAACCTCTGCTTCTTCCTTTGAACACTTTGGTGAGAATCACAAGATTGACTATGAAGGTCTGCATCTCATCTGTTTCATTGAGAATAGTATGGCCACCACATGGAGTGATGTCCTTACAAAGTTGAGTCCCAGAAAAAACCTTCCACGACTGAGAATGCCCCCTGCTCTAAGCCAGAGGGTACCCCTAGTTAGACTCCGGTGACGAATGATCCTTATTCGATAAAGAGTAGAGTGATTGAATCTGCAGGAGGGATATTCAGTCCTTACATGATTCTGAATAGAGATTCTAGCAAGAAATCAGTTAAAACATATATGAGGGGATCTCAAGCAGAATCTGGGGGAAAGAAAGGTGTGATTCTATGTGGGAATTCTGTAAAAGGCAATGAGACACGCATCTCAATGGATAAAGAGGAAAAGGTTACTTTTCACCAAAAAAAAAAAAAAAAGAGGAAAAGGTTACCGGTGGTAATAAAGAAGGAAGGATTATGATAGGTATCTCTAGATTTTTTGGAGCAGAAATTAAGGAAAATATTAATATGGAGCAAGCATAGGTCCCCATTGGTGCAAAACGAAAAATAGTCAAGCGAAGAACCCGCGGGAAGGAGAATAATTCTGGATTTGAAATTTATGGTCACCATGAGGGGAAACGAGATCTACAAAATAATGAATTGCATCCTTACCAAAAAAAAAAATAATGAATTGCATGATCCAGTTAATTATTTTAATCCTTTCTCTATACTTATGTCTGGGCCTACAGAAACGGCCCAACAAGTTCAAACTATTCACACCGATTGTACTGTACATAACACACCTGAGATAGAGAAAAAAGGGCAGGAAGGTATGGGTAGTGGTAATGGGTTGACTGAGCTTACAAGCATGAAAACGATTAATGGGTCTGGAAGAATAGAAGTGGGTATAGATCCTTTAATGACAAAAGAATCCTCAGGATGGTCCTCTTACTAATGACGGGAATCTGGGAGTCCCCTCCCAACTGTCCATTGATGGTTCTCAATGAATTTCCATTTTTGGAACTCTAGAGGGACTGGAGCTCGTACCTTTCCCAATCTCATTAAAAAGTTAACTTCATTTTACTCATTAGATTTTGTTGCTTTATTTGAAACTAGAGGCATTGGTAATAAAACTATTGAGATCTCTCATAAATTGGGCTTTTAGTACTCTGAGATTGTGGATGCGGTTGGATTTAGTGGAGGTCTTTGGCGTCTCTAGTCTAATAGAATTAGACAAGTAGAGGTGATGCTAAAGAAGCCTCAATTCATTCCCTTGAAAGTTGGAAATACTGAGGGACAATGTTGGTGGTTAACGGTCATTTATGCTAGCCCCTCATTGCAAAGAAGATAAGATTTGTGGCGTGAGCTTGTTGAGGTACGAAACCAATTTGATGGTCCTTGGTGTCTAGCTGGAGACTTTAATGCGACACTTATATCTGCTGATCGGTCTTTGAATAGTGCCATCTGCAACTCGGACCGAGACTTTTGTTCCTTTGCTCCTAATACGCGACTGAATGACATAGATGTAGTTGGCCCAAGATTCACATGGAAACGGACCAATGTGGAAAAACGGATTGATAAAACTATGGGAGCAAATGACTGCCTTGGATTCTTTTTGGTGCCATTGTTAGACATTTGCCGTTCTATAAATTTGATCATAGACCTTTGCTTCTGAGATTGAACAGCCTTAACAAGCATTGGAGAAGGAATAAACCCTTTCGTTTTCTTGCTGATTGGGTGTTGCATGATCAATTTGTTGAATTTGTGAAAAAATAATTGGTCAACCCAAAAATCCTGGAATACTAATGTACAGAAGTTTTTGGAGGCGTGTGTTACTAGGAACAAGGAAATTTTTGGGCATACTCATACCCAAAAAAAAAAAAAATTATTGCATTGGCTGAAGGGTATTACAAAGGTTGAAGCGAGATGTCCACTAAATCCCAAACTTATGTAGCTCCAACACCAACTTTGGAAAGAGTTAGAGGATGTTCTTCTTCAAGAATTTTTACTTTGGGCACAAAAAGCTAGAAGCGAGTAGCAGATTTCTGGAGATAAAAATACCAAATTTTTTGGTAATCAGGCCAATGGAAGATGAAGAAGAAACTTTATTGGCATAATTCGTAATAGTGATAATGACTGGGTTTATGATGTTGCAGTTATCAAACATTTGGCCACCCAGTTCTTCTCTCAACTGTTCACTGAGAAATCTCATATTAGGGTGCTTGTGTGTTGCACCATTTTTTATCCTAAGATACCTGAAGTTGACCTACTCTGGGTAGGGAGGGAAGTTTGTAATGCTGAGATTAAAGAGGCCCAGTTTAGCATGCGAGCTCTTAAATCTCGTGGTCCAAATAGTCTCAATGCTTTGTTTTACCAAAGCTAGTGGAATCAAGTAGGGAACTTTGTCTGCTCTTTTATCAAACATCTTTGGCAGGAGCCGTCCAATATAATTGACATCAATGGTACCCATATTGTTCTTATTCCAAAAAAGACCATCTGGAAGAACCTAAAGATTTGCGTCCAATTAGGTTGTGTAATGTGATCTTCAAGATCATCACGAAAATTCTTGTTAATTGGGTTCCATTATTAGCCCAAACCAATGCAGCTTTGTCCCTGGGAGGCATAGTTTTAATAATATCATAGTTGCTCAGGAAGTTATTCACTCAATGAGAACTAAACAGGGGAACAAAGGTTTCATGGCCATTAAGATTGACTTAGAGAAAGCATATGATAGAGTCAATTGGAACTTTCTTATGGGTTGTTTAGTTGAGATCAAAATTTTGATGCATATTATTGATATCAGATCTAATTATGTTACCACATCAACCATGCAGCTACTCTGGAATGGGAAGAAGGCAGAAAAATTTATTCCCACCAGAGGTGTTAGACAAAGGAATCCTCTATCCCCGTACTTGTTTGTGATTTGCATAGAGAAACTTGCTCACATGATTCAAGAACAGGTGGCAAAGAAATTATAGCTTCCAATTTCTTTATGTAAGAAAGGACCTTGTCTCTCTCATTTTTTTTTTTTTTGCTGAGGATATCATTCTCTTCGCAGAGGTATCTGTACTTCAGGCCAAAGGTGTACGAAAGTGCCATGATGAGTTTTATGCTTCTTCGGGTTTAAAAGTGAATGCAAGGAAGACTTGGGTTTTCTTTTTACGTAATGTGAATCATACAAGAAGGACAGAGATAAGTACTATTCTGGGATTTCAAATAGCTGTCGACTTAGGCAAATATCTGGAAGTGCCTCTTCATCATAAAAGAGTCTCAAAGGATACTTATCAGGATGTGATTGATAAAGTCAAGCGAAGACTGGCTAGCTGGAAAGCTGATTCCTTATCACTAGCATGTTGATCTACCCTTGTCTCTTCAGTGACCTCTACAATACTTGGGCATTCTATGTAAACAGGGTCTCTGCCTATTTCAACCTGTGAAACTATTGAGAAGAGTAATCATGATTTTATTTGGGGCTCTATGGCTAAGAGGAGCAAGACCCATCTTGTTGCATGGGACACAATTTGTAAAGCTAAGAAAAATAGGGGCCTAGGTCTAAAACACTTGAGATACCAGAATCAAGCCTACATGTCTAAACTCAGCTGGAATCTCATTAATTGACGGGATGATCCTTGGGTTAAAGTAATCAGAAGTAAATATATTTGTGGGAACGATCTTATGCCATGGATTGACTTTGAGAGAGGAGGATCAAACACGTGGTTAGGTATTAAAAAAAAAATCATGGAAACATGTTGAGAAAGGTGTGGAAATAGACTGTGATAAAATATTGGCCAAGTAGAAGTTTAACCACAGTGGGATCTTCTCCATCAGATTGGTATATGATCACATCTCGAATGAACAGGATGTTTCCGATCATATCTAGCAAAAGGTTTGGAAGCTCCTAGTTACGCAAAGGTGCAAGACCTTTCTTTAGTTAGCACTCCATAACGAGCTGCTAACGAATGAAATCAGAGCCAAGAGAGGTATGTGTACGGCTTTGACTTGCACATGGTGTGGAGTAATCTTTGAGAATCTGCTTCATATTCTTAGAGATTGTGAAGATACAAGGAGCCTATGGCTCTGTCTTATTAATCCTACCATCCATAGAGGATTCTTTCAGCTTGATTTATTTGATTGGCTTAAAAGAAGAAAGTGAGGAAACAATTAAGAGATACTGTTAACCGAGAAACAGAGACAATATTAAAAGAGAAATTAGAGAGGAAAAGAACATTGGTGAGAACAAGGGAAGAGGATATGACAACCGTGCCAGATATGGTGGAAACGGCTTGGGTCCCTGTAGGTAAACTAACAGAGACGGGGGAAATGGAATGATATGAAGAAAAAAGATCAAGATTGCTACAGACATGGTCAGTGGCACCTGAATCGATGATCCAGGGAACGGAATGCAAAGAAGAATTGAGTATACCTTTAGGTGACTTGGCGGAAGCGGTGAAATGGTTGACAGAGGCCGAAGGTTGTTGAGGTGTGAGGAGAGTGAGGAGACGTTGGTATTGTTCAGAGGTGAGATGAGGTAAAATGGAAGCCGTGGAAGAGGAAGAAACAGGAAGAGAAGCAGCAGTATGAGTTTCTTGAACATTACCAGAGTCTTGAGTAGTGATACTGTTTACCGTGGCAGGGGAACGAAATTTGAAGCCAGGAGGGAAACCATGTTTCCGGTAGCATATGGCTTCAGTGTGACGAGGTCGACCGCAATAGCTGCACTGTTTGGTGACAGATGCTGTGGGTTTGGGGCCAACCGGAGCAGGACGAGAAGACAGAGGTGGTCCTTTGGTAATTAGAATCTTCGAATCGAGAGGAGTAGTGAGTTCCCGTTCTTGTTGAATCACAAGGGAGAAGACCCGATTAATCGATGGTAGAGGGTCAATCAACATGATTTGAGATTTGATAGAGCCATAAGAATCATTGAGGCCTTTCAAAAATCTGATTATGCGATCTTGTTCACGGTGATGAAGCGCAGTATCGGCGGAAGTGCAGGAACAGGGTTTTAGGGGGCGAATATTGTCCAATTCATCCCACAGGATCTTCAGACGGGTGTAATACTCGCTGACACTAAGACTGCCTTGCCGTAAACTGTAGATGTCCTCCTATAGTTCAGCGATGCGGAATAGATCGGAATGAGAGTAACGCGATCGAAGGTCGCTCTAGATATCCGAAGCTTTGTCAAACCAAAGGATGCTTTTGGCAATAGTTGGAGAAAGGGATTTGATTAACCAGCCTTGAACGAGGTTGTTGCAACGGTCCCAGGCGTGAAACAGAGCATCGTCAGATTTCGGTGGAGTGAGGGAGCCGTCGATGAGCGCGAGCTTGTTTTTGGAGAGCAAAGCCATGCGCATCGCGCGAGCCCAGCTGTGATAGTTAGATCCATCAAGGGGAGGGGAAACCAGAACCAGAGCAGGATTTTCACTAGGGTGAATGTAGTAGGGGCTCTGTAAATCAATGGAGGGAGAAGAAGATGAGTGCGGCCATGGGAGGGTCGGTGAGTTTTCAGAAAAGAAAGGGAAATAGAAAGACGACAAAGAGAGGAAAAAAAATTAAGCTCTTGATACCATGTAACAGTATTTGGTAAAACTAAATGACTTAACTTTTATTAATGAGAGAAACGTATTTATACAGGGGAAATGATGTACAGCAACTTGACACTTAATAAATAACAGAATCAGTTAATATAACAAAATTGTTAACTCTATTCTTCACAAAATTAAACTTGAAAAATCGAGGGCTTCTCTTTGGGGATGGTTGGAGTGAATTCTTTAGTACTATTTGCTGTTTGATTTGGACACGACGTAATGAGCTTATTTTTTATGGCAAGTTTGCATCTAATGATTCGTTATTGGTAAGAACTAAGAGTGTCATCTCGAGTTTAAGGCAAGGCTTATAGAAGCTCAAGGGGATTAATCTTTTTGGTTGGGCAGTTTAAGACCGTGGTGCTAAGTGGAGTCCCCCTCCACAAGGTTGGGTCAAAGTCAATGTTGACGGAGCTTTCTCTCAACCTCAAGGCCCAGGATACGGAGGTTTGATGCGTTCTTGGAATGGCACTTTTCTTGAAGGGTTCTTATTTCGGCCTTTAGAGGGTGATAGCTTAAAAGCTGAATTATGGTCTCTGGTCCTCGGGTTGAAGATGGCTTGGGATAAAGGCAAGAGAGAGGTAATTATTGAATCTGATGCTAAGGAGGTGATCCGGCTGGCTCACCAAGAGGATGTGAGTCGACGTCCAGATGAACATTTGATTTTAGAAGCCTAATCCTTGATTGCATGTTCTTGGGATGTGGAGATTATGCATGTTCCAAGATCAATTAATACTGCTGCTGACTACCTGGCAAAGCAGGCTCTTGATGCTTTACCTGGGCTTTATCCCATCACTCACCCGTCTAATGGGTTGCTATTCTTTACCCAGAAGGACATGGCTACTTCCTCTAATTATGGCTAGTTAGTTTTTTCTTCCCTTGTAATATCCAAAAAAAGAAAAGAAAATAGCTGATTGATTATATATGTTTTAAAATAATCTATTAATTATCAGTTTTCAAAAAATGAAGATTTATTTAAAAAGCATCAGCTAAAATTTTTTTAATTTAGATTATTAAAACTGTATTTATAAGGTGCACGTCTCTTTTGGCAAAGGGGAAAAAAAAAGAATAGAAAAGAAAAGGTGCATGTCTTACCATAGTAATGTTGTGGTGAGTATCAAAACTACTCTGATCACTCCATTTTTTTTTCATATAGGCCACCATCTTTAAGAAATTAATGATCTTAGATGACAAGTTATTTTACAAGGGTTTGAGGAGTATTGATTTCATTATTTTAAAGAGGAAAAATTGCAAACAAAGACCCTTAAAATTATAAAATTATGAAATGGGTATTTGATTTAATAAAATTGCTATGAGAGATCCAGTCCTAAATATGAACTATGAAATGTTAAAAAAAAAAATCAAAATGTTATTCGTTTCTTTTTTTTTTTTGTCACCCCCATCTCTTTCTCTTTCCTTCTTCTCTTTCTTTCCCTCTCTTGGTCCCTTCTCTCTCATCATGACTGGCCTGTCACCACCTCCTGATTAGGGGTGGAAACAGGCCAGCGACCTATGACTTAACTTACATTTAGCTTGGTCTGTCTTGTTTCCAAATAGAAAGCGGCTCAGGCCTTTTTGATAGCCTATTTAGCATAATAGGCCCAGTCTAGGCTTTTTGAAAAGCCTGTTAGGCCTTGTTTGTTTATTTATTTTAATTTTAATTTTAATTTTATACTTTATTTCAAATTTTAATATATAACTATAACTTGTTTTCAATAGTATTAACCGTAATTAAGATTTAAAATATTACTTATGATATTAAAATTTAAATAAAAGATAATAATTAAAAATAATTATTATGTAGTATGTATATTTTACCTTTTTATTAGTCTATATATTTTTTACTATGCATTTTGAAATTTAAAATTATAGGCTTTTTAACATGCTCAGGCTAGACTAAGTCTTTATACAGGTCAGGCTTAGGCTAAAAAAAAAAAAGTCTATAATAGGCCACAAGCTAGGCTTAAGCCAGCTTGTTACTAAATAAGCCTGGCCTGACCTGTTTTCACTCCTGCTGCTCCTAATACAAGCTCTGTTGATTTCACTATGTAGATCAATAACCTCCTTACACCACCTATGGATCCTCTCATTTTCGCCGATGATGACGATACCTTGTCTTCCAAAACATTTCCATACACATTAGATAAAGGGGAATCTTAATTTTTAAGGAAAAAGACACTAAAGTATCCTAAAAAAATGCTAAACAAAAAGACACTCAATGTATTTTTTTTAATTTTTGAAACAAAAGTAGTCAATAGCGAAATTAGAGTAGTCAATAGCTAAACAAAAGTGGTCACCAAAATTTTAAAAGTAAAAGTAGTTAATCACAATACTAGAGTAATCAATAGCTAAATAAGAGTAGTTATCGGAGTTTTAAAAACAAATATAGTCAATAGCTTAAAAAAAAGTAGTCAATACATAAGAAAGAGTAGTCATCAGAGCTCCAATGACTTGTCACGAGGTTATGGCTGCATGTTGTTGGTAGAGTCATCAGCGCTGAAACTATGGAGGTCGAAAACCAGCTAAAGGTGCTGAGGTGGTAATATTTAAAAAAAAAGAAAAAAAATAGTAAAAGACATTTGTGTAATTTTACAAGATTTGAAAATTTCAAAATGATATAAGGGGTGAGACCAAACCATGGTTTTAAAAATGCTTTTACGGTTTATGAAGTAAATTTGTAAAGGAGTTTATCTCGTTTTGCGGAAAAGTGCTTCTTAAAAATACTTTTGAGGGTTGCCAAACACCTCCCGAATTGGGATTTTGAAATTTACTCACACTGATTTGTCCTTTAGCAATGTTTAGGGTATTTTATTGTTTTTTTCCTTAATTTTTAAAAGAGCTGTTAGGAAGTGAGAGAAAAGGATAGATATTCTTACATGGAATATGCAAGTATTTTATCTAAACTAGCCATAGACATGATTAAACATGAATTATATGGAGCAAATATAATACGGCTATGGGTGAACGATCCCCATACTTTGGCAATATGTAGCAATACTTTCGCAATCGTAAAACCCCAGATGAGCGATTAATGCTTTAAGTATGGTTCAAGTAAGGCACACATTGACCTCGGACAGGGAAAGCCATCCGGAGTCCACCAACACTAAATAATGCTACGTGTTAAACCATCACCACACATTAAACCAGTTAATACTGCAACTGGGAAATCTCTGGAAACTTCTCCCCACGCAGTGATAATATAATTGTTAATAACATTGTTGTTATTTCTTAATAAAGACTTGTAATCAGAAACTAAATATTGAAAATTGGTATTAACTTAAGTTTTAGCAGAAATTGGCATTATTTTCACAATTTAGTTACCAATGACAAGTCTAGTATAAAAATTAACAAGTATTGAAAAACTATTCACAACTTAAATTTTAGCATAAATTGTTATTATTTTTACAATTAAATTGCCAATAACAAGTCTAATATGTGAAATAACAAGTATTAAAAAGCTATTCATATTAACTTAAATTTTGATAGAAATTGGTATTATTTCAATAATTTAGTTTTTTTTTGCCAGCCCATCTCTCTCTCTCTCTCTCTCTCTCTCTCTCTCTCAAACACTAATTATTTGCACTAATTAGATGAACTATGAATCTTACCTTCAACTTTACCACCCATACACTAATTGTCTAATTAAATTTGAGCATATGGACTTTCCCTAATAAAAGATTAATACAGATAAAAATTTAAAACTCTGCTCGACCGTTATTGATAATAAAAATTACACATGACAAGATTTGATTGAAAAATATTAAACCTACTAGACATAAGTAAATCTATTTAAGGTCACCATATGTAATAGGAAATTATACTAATGAAGAACTATAAAAATTACACACGACAAGATTTGATTGAAAAACTATAATAAAGAAAAATTGCAATTAGATATATAATTAATTACAAAAAAGTTACAAGCTTGAGTAGAAATTGGAATTATTTTAACAATTTCATATCACTATCTAATAGGAAATTACTAGTCTACAATAATAGGAAATTACAAGTCTAAAACAGAAAATTAAAAGTATAAAATAGAGAATTACAAGTTTGCAGTAGGGAATTACAACTTTGGAATAGAAAATAATAAGTCTGAAATAGGAAATAATAAATTTAAAATAAAAAATTACAAGTCTAAAATAAGAAATTACAAATCTGCAAAAAGAAATAATAAGCCTAAAATAAAAAATTATAAATCTAAAATAGAGAAGTACGAGGCTGAAATAGAAAATTACATATCACCCTTAGTTAGACTTTTGTTTGTTATATCATACAAACCCATGGACTGTGGACATATTGTATTGTATATTGTACTCAGAGGGATGATACTCATGGAACCAAAAGGTTTAAATGCTGTTAGTATGTTCCCCTTCTTAGAAGGAGCCCTTCCTTTATGTCAAGCTATAAGCATTCTGGGTAGACTGCCATTTATTTTGCTGTAATTTATATATTATTTTTTATTCACTTGCGGCCTAAAAGATCCCAATATGATGTTGGTGTCTCATGTCCTAAATTGACAAAGTTAGAGAGATTATGTGGCGATTTCATCTCACATCCACCATGCCGATCGATTCACTGCCTCTTTTTCTTACACAGACAAATGCATATACATATATTAACACCGAACCCACTACTCTCCAACTTCATTTCTTGGCTAGCTATGAGAAATAGCTTCACAAAAACTTGTTCAAAGTGGAAACAATTAGAAAGGGGTTCGTAACAAGAAGAACAGAAGAATCCGCACCACAATAACGCGTTGG